GACTAATAGAGGCTTGTTCAATTTTGAGTTTTAATTCTTTAATAGTCTAATAAACAATTATACTAATAGCAATATCACTATCAATAATAGCTTAGTAAGAACTATCTCTAAGTCATTTGTTGCATTTTACAGAAGTAGTATAGGTAGATGATTGAACTAGATTAGCATTTTTGGTTTTTTTATACAAATATGCAAATGTAGCTATATGAATAAAAGGGTTATTAAAAAACTGTTTCTATTTCTTTAATATTGTAACAAAAGAAGCAGAAAAGAAATCTTTATAGCCAAGATAGTTAACATTTTTATAATAGAATAAAGATAAGTGAAAACTAGTTTGTTTTCTATCACTATTATAGAAGTCTAAGTATCTGCTTCCTTTTTTAGAATTTTTTTTTCTTTAAAAGAGTTTCAATAATAGGATCTGTTACGACTTCAAGAGTAAAACCTTTGGTTATATCTATCATTTCTTTTATAATTATCTTTTTGGTTAAATTATCGTTCAGCTTGTCTGGTTTTATATTTAGCAATAAAATATTCTGTACATCTATAGTAGTAACAGTAGCATGAATCTTTGGCTTAAAGTCTGTTAATATTAGAAGTAACTATATAGTTAGCAGATTGAGGTAGAAATTTAAACCAGTTAGGCTATAATTAGTTAACTGACCTAAGCCAAATAAATTTTGAATACTCAGTTGAGTAAATTCTTAATTAGTTAACCTGTACAACTGGTTAAAAATTAGTAATTAGATGGAAGAATCAGAAATAAGCAAGAATTTTTTAAAAAAACATAAAAGATAAGCAAAATAAAGACAAAAATTTGGGTAAATGTCTGAGATTTTTTGAAGGTAAAGTGTAAAGTAATCTTAATCAGTTTTATTGATTGATATAAAATATTTTAACTTGGTTAACTAATTAAGAAAATTTTTTTTGGTTCAAATCATTAAGTTGAGGTTAGTATAGTTATTGTTTCTGTGCTAAGTTAATACTGAGTTTGGCAATCTGATCTGTTAGCTGTTTAATAGCTTGGTCTGTTTCTGTAGTAGTGTTAATAGCTATTATATATTTAGTTTCTTATTGCTTTGCAGTAGTAATAGTAGCATTTAGATTGGCAAGTTCACTAGCTTGCACATTAATAGAAAATTTAGAACATAGTTCTTAAATAAATAGTTGTTTAGTAAAATCTGCAGAGAAGGCATCACCAAAGTCAACTCATCTTTTTAACTATCTAAATCTGTTAACATATGTATTTACTATATCTGAGTCTTGTTTAATATTAAAAAGCTGTTTCTGCCAAATAGCTTTTTGTTTTAGTATATAAAAGTGAGTTCTAAAAAAATAGTTAAGCTTCTGTTTTGGTTAGCATTATCATCAAAAGCATTTGGAGCAAAGTGAAGACTTTGCTATTAATTTAATACAATTCCTTTTAAGTATACAGAAGTAAGTTTCAATTTTTAAGCAGCATTCTATTTGTTAGCAATAGTAGCTTTTTAAAACCCTTCAAGCCATTGTTTTGGGTCTTGAGTTCTATTATCATAAAAGAAATTAGCTTTTAAAAAAGCTTTTTTATTTCTATTTAAAGTAGTAATAAGATCAATTATAGCTTGTGTAGCATCTTGTAAAGCTTGTTTTATTATGTTAACAGATAGATCAGAAAGGTTATTAAAAATAGGTAGAAGTGAAAGAAGAAGTTAAAGTTGATGAAAAATAAGTTAAGATTGAATAACTATAGATTGAGGTTGAATAACAATAAGTTGAGATAAAGAAAAAGTGAGTTGAGATAAGAATGAAGAAAAAAAACTTTTTTTAAGAGGCTGTTGTTGAGATGAGTTAGTAGGAGTACAGTGTAAGCCAGAAGTTTTTGTAAGATCTACAGAAGCAGTGATATATTTTTCTGTTTCTAAATTGTTAATAATTAATAAAGAAATCTGTAAAGATCAAGAAGAAGTGTAATAACTTTTAAAAAGTTCAATAAATGTAACTAATTCATTATAAGAAACTAAACTATTTTCTGGATTATGTAAGAAAAAATATTATTTAAAAGGTAATATTATCATTAGTAGTAATTGGTAGAATAGAACTTTTTAAATTTTCAAAATATTGACTAAATTCTTTTGGTTCTTCAAAACTAAAACTTAGAAGAGTGTCAAGATAGAGGTCAAAAATATTTTGATATTTAAAAGATAAGGTAGAAAGTTGAAAAAAATTAATATATTTTCTAACTAAAGCTATGGTTATTGTTCTAAAATCACCAATATCTTGTTGGTATCAATAGCTAAAAATAATATCTCTAATGCAAAGGTAAAGTGTAATTTGATCTAAATATAAAGTAGTAAAAATAGTAAAGTTGTTCTGAGTATAGAAGAAATGATGTTAAGCTGTAAAGTTAGTTTTGTACCAAATCCAAAATTGTCTAAAATATGAGTGAGAACTAGTATATTAAGAAAAGTAATACTGAAGACAAGATAAATTTGAATGCTATGTTTGAAGTATATTTATTGCAAAATAAAATTTAGTTAGATATGCTTGTTGATGGCTTTGATTGTTTTTATTGTAAAGTTTAGCAGCAGTATAAATCATAAAAGAAAAAGTGTTTATATGTTTAGAACTCTGCTAGAATAACTAATACTTGTCTGGATTTTTTGTTGTGATAACTAATACTTGTTCAAGTCTTTTGCCAAGATAACTAATACTTGTCTAGGTCTCTTATTAAGATGACTTTTCTAATATATTTGAGAATATCTTGTTCAGAATAACTTATTTTTTTTAAAAAATTTAATCTTTTTACAAAAGGCACTAAATATTATAAGTAAAAGCCTTCTTAATTTTTATACTATAATGATGACATGGCACAGAGAATCTCTTATAGGTATATGCAATATTCAAAAGAGAAGTATAGTTTCTGTTAAACATTGTTAAGAAACTATACTCTTTTTTAAGACAGTTTAAGAAAGATAATATAATATTAATAACTTTACTTTATTTTATTAGAAGAAGATAAACTTTGTTTGTAAGAATTATTCTAAAAGGAGCTATTCTTAGATTTCTGTTTTTAAAGAATTCCAAAATGTGTTTACAATATTAAAGAAAAAAAAAAGTTTGTTACTTAATTAGACTTAAGAAATTTAGCAAAGTTTATATATTTGTAAGCTAAGTAGCTAAGTAGCCAAGTGACTAAGTAACTAAGTAACTAAGTGACTAAGTAACTAAGCAACTAAGCAATTACTAAATGACTGGAAGGTTTAGCAACTAATGACTAATGATTACTAAGTAACTAATTACTAAGTAACTAATTGACTAAGTGACTAAGTAACTAAGCAATTACTAAATAACCAGAAAGTTTTAGTAACTACTACTAATAATAATACAATAAAATAACTAATACTAAATAATAATAATAATAATAAAATAATAATAATAATTAATAATAATAAAATAATCAGCAATGTTTTTCATATACCACTTTTGTGTAACATTCTGTACACCAATTTTGATCAACCAATAAAATTGCTAGAAAATCAAATTAAAAAATCAGTGGGACATGAAAATTATATGATTTGTTTTAGTATGATTCTTGACAAACTATACCAAATCACATAATTACTAATTATTATATATTAATTTTTGTATAACTGATAGCTTTCAATTACATCAAATCAAACTAAGGGCATTCTCAAATATCTTAAATAATTGGACAAAAGTGTTTATTATATAATTAATATATTTTTATTAATAAAAAAATAATCTATGAGTTTATTATTTCAATTTATAATCATTTTACAGCAGACTACCTTTTTTTATTTTTGCTTGGCAAAATTTATACTTAATTGAGTATTTAAAGAGATCGCACAAGTAACCTTATCATACAATCTTATTATGCAATAATGAACCAAACATAGTGATAAAAACATTTGATAAAGTATTAATGAACTGCTCAAGTATCAATTACAATTCTTATTTCATTTGATTATAGTAAATGAGTATTGTCATATTCATTAGCTAAATGCATAGAAAATAATGTTTAAGCAAACTTTGATTACTTCTTAATTTGCATATTCGATTCATTGTCAAAAATTTTACATACATATAATTATCATTGTGCACTATTATGATTATCAGCTAATAACATTAAGGTTGAAGCTTAAGAACACTCTAAATCACATAAATTCTGTGTCTCTGGTTATGACAACCTTATTATTTTGATGTGGATGCAAAAATACTTGTTTCAAAAAGCTGTATCATACTGACTCGGTGCTATATATTATTAGAATAAGAATTATAGCAGATTAGTATAGTATGGCTTTTAAATAAGCACTTTGCACTCTATACTAGACTGACAAAAGCCAAATATAGCAGTTATTACAATACACATCAGGATAAGGTCACATTAGACATGCATATAATTAATTAAAATCTTCTAAATATGGCAATGCATTAATGCGTAATAGTGGTAATGAGTAGTTTATTTTGTTATTTAACTTTTAAATTGTCTATCGATTAAAAATCAACTCAATTCACAAAACTAAATAAAGCTTTAACATCTATAAAATAACAGTGCACAATTCAAAGTACAATTATTGTTACTGTAAAGTTAACTTTTGAATTGTAAAAGCCCAAAATGATGATAATGTTAAATGATGCAAAATTCAAAAAACCAAAAATTCATTGTTACTATAAAATTGTTTTTTGAATTGCGAATGTCTATATGAATATGATACAATAATGCACAAGATTAAAAGTCCGATAAGCAATAATAAAATATATAATTTACTAATCATTACAATGATCGTAGTTTTTCTTCTCTTATGCATCTTATTGTTGCATAATAATAAAAAGAAAAAGAAAATAACTACAAGAAAGTTATATAAATTCAAAGTCTTATCGAGTTGATGTTTTGCATTTTTCCATAAAGAACTTTCACATATGTATAAATTTAGTCTTTTGGTAATTTAGATAAAGCTTAAATAGGTATTAACTTTTAAACAGTTCAAATTTATTGCAACATGGACAATTTATTAGTACCTTCTGACACAATTGATACTAGTACTGTTAAACTCTAACACACTTTTGCAACCTTTGCTGAAGCTCATGCAACAATTGAAAGTTATGCAGCACAAATGAAATCTGTTATAATTTTAGAGAAAACAAAAAAAAATTCAAATAATAGTTATAAGCAAATACTTTTTGTATGTGAAAAACAAGGACAATATGCTAGAAAAAATGATGCATATACTACCAAATGTACTGGATATCCCTTTTTTATCAATATATATTATCGCAAGCATGATAAAGAATTTGCCATTACTAAGTCGTGCCTGAAGCACAATTATGACCCTTGTTCTGATGCTACAAAATTCAGCAGTGTTATGAAAAAAATTGATCAAAATGATCTTGGATTGATAGAAAAGTTACACAATGATGGACTTAGAATGAAGAACATTTTTTCAGTATTGAATTCTGTTAGCACAAAATATCTTCATAAACATGATGTTTACAATGCCATAAGTCATCAATGACAGTTTAAGTTACATGGTTTAAGCAAGATCGAAATGCTTCTTAAAAATCTGCATGAGGATGAAAATATTATAGGTGATATTGCATTAAAAAATGCATTTAATGACAAACAAGACCAAGATGATGAATTTATACAGACAATTTTTTGGGCATACTACAATGCAGTTTCTGAGTTTGCAGTAGATAAAGATGTCTTGATTATCGATACGACTTACAAAACTAATAGGTTTTTTTTTTTTTCTTCTGGCCAAATTGCTATGACATTCAATTTATTTATTCATTTATTAAAGATTATCTTAATTAAACCAATAGGTTTTCAATGCCCTTGGTCATTATTTGCAGTATCGATTAGTTTGGGTCTATATACCTACTTGCTTTTGCTCTTATTTATTCAGAAACACAGAAATTTTACTGCTGGGTGTTGCAACAACTAAGTAAGATACTAATTATTGTAACAGGTAGTGTGCAAGTTGCAATGATGATAACTAATCAGGAATTAGCCCTTATGATAGCAATTAATAAAGTGTTTTCTTATACAAAACATCAAATGTATACATGGCATGTTTTTAAAAACATCAAAAATAAGCTTCGAAGAGAAGTTGACATTGATGAATTTATTAAAGACCTTTAAAAACTTACTTATAGTGACCTTTCAGAAGGTAAAACCGAGCAAGATATTATAGCATTGTGGACAAAATATCCAAAGGCAAAGATATATATATCTGAAACTTGGATGCTATATAAAAAAAGCTGGCTTGCACCTTATACAAAGAGAAATATAAACCTTGATATAAGATCAAGCCAGCATGTTAAAAGTCTTTACAGTAAATTAAAGGGTGTCAAAAATAGAATTACCCTCATTGACATTTTGTTTACAACTTTTTTGTAACAATTGCATAAATTATTCCAAAAGCAAGCATATGAGCCATTTTTACATCAGAACAAACATACATATGATGAAGCAAATATGTGGCTAGAAAAGTTGCAATCAGCATACTCACACTTTGCATTTGAGTCATTTATAAAACAGCAAGCAGAACTTGTAAAGTCTGAATTCTATAAAGTGTTTGAAAATAGTAACAATACATATAATGTAACCCGAATTTGTAACTAGGCAATTTTAACTTCAATATTGTACATCTTGGCACTTCTAGTTTTTGTATATGTCTGTACCCACAATGCACAAAGACCCTTTGTTAGCACATTATTGTAGTATATTTGTTATATTTACGTACTTACGTACCATCTAGTAAGATTCATCAGTGTTGGCATATACAATATCAAGTAGAATTGAATAATGTTTACCAACATATTGTTCAGATTTTTAGACAACTTTTAAGTTATCATCACAGTGCTTTTACAGGTTTAATGCAGCAGTCTTATGAGTATGTTATTAAGCATGATAAAATGCCAGAGCTGCCACAAAGAGGTTCAAATATTATACAACCAAGTATTTTTGAAACTGTTAATATTTCTGATGTAACAAATTATAATAAAATTAAAATACCACCAATCAAACATTCACATAGATGCCTACCAAATAATAGACATATTTATAACACAGATAAAAATAAAACATCTTTAAAGAAAAGCGTAAGTAAACATAAACATAATAAGATGGTTTTTAAACTAATCACTTGTATTAATATTGCAGAAAATTGTAATAAAAACTAGATATCGGCAACAAAACATTTACGGGGTCGATCACCAAAGAATGCTAAAAAGTAATTTTGATTAGCTAAAACACTTCTTTTCTTGACTTTTAGTTTTATATTTGATCTTGTTACGTATTATGTTTTGCATTATGTTTTTAGCTAAATATATCAAATTGTAATCAATTAGTATAAGAATTACAGTATCATATGTATATAAGTTCTGTTTCATATATGTAATTTGGAAATGTAAATCTAAAAATTTTATGCTTGTGATTAATTGGTATTAAAAGTAGCTACTAAACAATGAAATTGATATTACTTTATTTTTTTTTTTTTTGGTATTAAGGTGAGGCCTTGCTCGTATCTTTATTGGTAGTTTAAAAATTAGTAGCTACATGGA